TTTTTTAAATTGGACTCATCCCGACCCTCAATAGTCAACTATTTCTCTCTTCACTCATTGGATGCACACCCCAAACTTGATTTTGTAACTATTTTCCCAAGGTGTAATGTATGGTTAAATTTATATACTATTACTCACCATCTCTAGTTTTGTTAGATTTTACTAATTGTAGCTCAACACATCAATAAATGAGGATTCTCCTTAATTTTGACTGACTCAAACTCCAAGAATCAACTAAGCTACTAATCCCTTATCAAAGGTCTAATTCTCTAAAATAAGTGTTTGGGACTCAATCAAGACATGTAGTGCGTCTTCTGTTTCATGCACCTGCTTTTTTCAAGTTTGCTGTGCGTATTCTGTTTCATGCACTAGCCTATCTCTTTTTATGTATATAATTTTCCTCATTGGGCTCTTTTAGGGTAGCTTCACAACATGGCAGCTTTTTCCCTTCTATGCAATGATTAGTGCAATGCCCCTCATTAAACACTTATTCTCGAAAATCGATCTTTAACTTAAGATTTTCACCTAATTATCATCTCATTGGTCTTAAGCAATTTACACAAAATTTAACACACATGGAATCCACATCTATCTCAATGTCTCCCCACAACAGCTCAACCACCCCAAACTATCCTAGAATTGGTTTAGTTGGAATTTTTTTTTTTTTTGTTGTCATAGTTAATTCTACATATTCTATCCATTGATCCAATCTAAATAATATGTGATTTCCATGATTATTGTGCTCAATGTAGATCAATCTAACATGAACAAGCTTAAACTAAATCAAAGTAGCATCCCCTAGTCATAATAATATAAAAACAATTTCAAATATTATCATCGGTCGGTAAGAAATTTTAAATTTTTTTATTGGATGGGAAAAAATTTTTTTTTTTTTTTTTTTTTTGAAACATTTTGATTTCTTCCCCCAACCTAAATGAAACATTGTCCTCAATGAAAAGATTAAATGTTCAAAATATATGAAGGACAATAAGGGGCAAAATTTTGAACAAAGGGACGGGTTTTGAGCTTTACCTGGAAAGTCTGCATAAACTTGGCCTAAATGATCCTTCAATTTCATTAGTGAAAAAAAAAACAACAATAAAAGAAACACACCTAAAAAAAAACACACAACATTATAAAACTGAAAATAAACATACAAAATAAAATAAAATAAAAAGGATATCAATCTTTAGAATCATGTATAGCAACGGGCTCTTCAAATCTAGAGAAATTCTCAAAAAATGGTTTCAAATCGAGCTTTGGTTCTTGAACACTTGAAATCATATGCGAATTTTTAAAATTATCATTGAATTCAAATTCAAGCGCATCATATGAAGATGTAGCGATAAATTGATCATCAACAAGTTGTTCAATAAGATCTACTTCATGCAAATCATCTTCATCTCCATGTTGCTTGCAAATGTTAAAAATATTCATTTCCACGGTCATATTTCCAAAAGAGAGTTTCAAGATACCATTTCTACAATTTATCAACGCATTTGAAGTAGCAAGAAAGGGACGTCCTAAAATGACAGGTATTTGTGCATTTGAATTTAAAACAGGATGTGTGTCCAAAACTATAAAATCAACAGGAAAATAGAATTTATCAATTTGAACTAGAACATCCTCTACAACCCCTCTTGGAACTTTTACTGAACGATCAGCAAGTTGAAGTGTTGTTGTTGTTGGCTTAAGCTCTCCCAAACCAAGTTGCTCATACACAGAAAAAGGTAATAGATTAACACTAGCACCAAGATCAAGCAAAGCACGCTCTATCCTGTTATTCCCAATCACACAAGAAATTGTTGGACAACCAGGATCTTTGAATTTAGGTTGAGTGTTTTGTTGAATGATTGAGCTCACATTCTCTGTCAAAAATGCTTTCTGTTGAGCATTAAGTTTCCTCTTAACAGTGCACAAGTCTTTTAAAAATTTTGCATATGAAGGTACTTGTTTGATTGCATCCAATAATGGTATGTTAATTTTGACTTGTTTAAAAAGTTCAAAAATTTCAAAATTGTGGTTGAGTTTTGAAATTGGTAGCAATCGTTGAGCGTTATATATATATATATATATATATATATATATAAGGTGGAATCCATTGCGATCTTGGGCATCGCCAAAGAAGGGTGTTCTCCGCGCCTATGAGTGACTATAGGTCCATTCGGATGCTGCTCCAAGAGAGCTTTATTCGGCCTTTGTATGACCGTCTTCCTCAGGAGTTAGGCCCTCATAAAAGAAACTTATAGTACGCCATTTTTCAAAACCATGATGTGGGCATGTATTTAACAAATCTTTAAATCTTTCTAAACATTGAAAGTACGCTTCATTGGTTTTTTGAGAAAAATTTTGGATTTGTCTTTTCAAAGCATTAGTTTTATGGGCTGGAAAGAATTTCTTCAAAAACTCACTTTGCATTTCTTGCCATGTGCCAATCGACCTAGGTTTTAAAGAGTTAAGCCAAGTTTTTGCTTTATCTTTTAGAGAAAAAGGAAACAATTTCAACTTAACAATTTCGTTGGGACAAGTTTGATCGTTAAATGTTGCACATACTTCCTCAAATTCTTTAAGATGCAAATATGGACTTTCGGATTCTAAGCCATGAAAATTAGGAAGTAATGGAATCATACCCGGCTTGAATCGAAAATTATTAGCATTAAGAGGAAAAATGAAACATGAAGGAGCAGAATTTCGAGGAGGTTGCAAGTAATCACGCATGGTTCGTACTTGTTGGTTTTCATTTTCATCGTGTATGCTTTCATTATCAGCCATGGTGGAAGATGTGAGTGAGTGTTGAGGTGAGTCAAATAAATTACTAAAGAAAGTTTCACAATTATCTTTACCTAAACGATGAGAATTTAATTCACGATACCAATATGACATAAAATAACAAAAAGTAGATGTAATGAACAAAAATTAGGTGGCACAGCCAACCATATAAAAAGAACGAAAATTAGGTGACACGGCCAACCATATAATAATGTAAAGGACAAAAATTAGGTGGCATAGCCAACCATATAGTAAAAACGAAAATTAGGTGGCACGGCCAACCATATAACAAAGAAAGGGCAGATCGGGAGGCTCGGCCTTCCCTTTAAGGAAAGAAAATAAACAAAAAATAAAAACGAAGGAGGCTCGGCCTTCCTTTAAAGTAAAATAACTAAAGCAATAAGATTGAAAAAGGAACGGTAATAAATGGTTGGTGGAAATACGATTGAGATGAACACTAGAGCGTCGGGGATTCACTTCAGATAAATGAGTAAAAATTGCAGTTGATCTTTAATTTAACTCATATGAAAATCAACTAAGGATTGATCTCATATGGAAGATAAAACATTAACCACAAATATATTAAAAGATAGATCTTGATAATTGTTTGAGAGAATATGTCAAAATAAGTTGTTGGTATGTAGAGATTATCTAAGCATTTATTGTGCCAAAATTGTCAACAATAAATCAAAGTCTTTAACAAACCAAAACCATTTGTAGAACATATACTTCAACCAAGTAAGAAGATGAACATTGAAGAACAAAATGAAAGATCAAAGACAATACTAAACATTCATCAAAGTTTCACCCTTAGCTCTAGCTAAATGTTTAGAAATACATAGTGAAATGTTACAAAGAAAATGAAGGAAACTAGAATATGATGGAGAGAATTGATTCTTCAAAATCGTGGCCAAGGTCCCCTTTTATAGGCAAAGGAACATCCAAAATTCAAGTAGGCAATGCAACTTGTTTCTGTCCAGCTTCAAGACAGCTGGAACATGCAACTTGATGCCAATTTTCAGATATATTGTGCAGCGAATTTGGACTTATGATCAACAGATAAATTATTACCACTTGAGTTAGCTTTCTATTGGTTCAAATATCAGGTTCATTGGATCTATATAACTCCAGAGATGACAAAAACAATAAGTGCTGCTTCACAGGTAAAGCTGTATCCGGCAGGTAACAAGCTGGACTTTACACGGTAATTTTAGCTGCTTTGTGATACGAATTTGACTTCTTCCAAAACATGAAAGTTGTAGAAACATGCCTTTTCTTTCGAACCCAACTTGAATCACCTCGATCCAATGTCTGAAGCTCAAGTTATGATTATTTTACCAACAGCTGCTTCTTGCTTGAGACAGTCACTATTTTTGACTTTTCAACATTATTTTCCTCCACTTCCTCCACTTGTTGTAATTTGGAAATACAAGTGAAATACATCAAATAGATACTCTTTCAAATGTATAATACTCATGCCACCATGTATGTAAATACGTATTTCAATTAATTGCATTTTTAACCATGTATTTATGGAAATTGAATTTACGGCAAGACAATTGAAATTAAAGACTAACATTAGTGTTTTTAAACAAAGTGAATGTAAAATGCCTTGTAAATGATATATCTTTGAAACACTTTTAGACACTAATCAGTGTACATGTAGCAACGTCCTTGCTGATTGAACTTTGCTATTTGTACACTGATTTTTGACACGTTGTTTAACAGTTGCAACATTGTCGAGTGTTAATTCGACGGGAAAACGGTTTGAAATTTAAGCTGTCCAATAGGGTAATGTCATGTGGAAAAGTGAAAACGAAAGTTTACACCGTAGTTTACGTGTAGTACGGTCCTTATCAATTGAACTTTGCTATTTTTACATTGATTTTTGACATGTTGTTTGACACTTGCATTGTTGTCAAGTGGCAATTGGATGGAAAAACTGTTTGACATTTAAACTGTCCAATAGGATAAAGTCACGTGGCAAAGTGTAAACTAAAGTGTACACTATAGTGTACATGTAGAAAGGTTCTTACCGATTGAACTTTGTTATTTGTAGACTGGTTTTTAACACGTTGTTTGACACTTGCATTGTTGTCAAGTGTCAATTGGATGGGAAAACTATTTCAAATTTAAGATGTCCAACAAGGTAATGTCAAGTGGAAAAGTGAAAATTAAAGTGTACACCGTAGTGTACATGTAGTAACGTCCTTACCGATTGAGCTTCGCTATTTGTAAACTGATTTTTTAAACGTTGTTTGACACTTGCATTGTTGTCAAGTGTCAACTGATGGGAAAACTATTTGATACATGTGGCAAGGTTCTTACCAGTTGAACTTTGTTATTTGTATCCTGATTTTTGACACGTTGTTTGACACTTGCATTATTGTCAAGCGTCAATTGAATGGGAAAATTGTTTGAAATTTAAACTATCCACCAGGGCAATGTCACGAGACAAAGTGTAAACTAAAGTGTACACCATAGGGTACATGTAGCAAGGTTCTTACCGATTAGACTTTGCTATTTGTACACTAATTTTTGACACGTTGTTTGACATTTGCATTGTTGTCAAGTGCCAATTGGATGAGAAAATTGTTTGAAATATAAACAGTCGAACAGGGTAATGTCTCGGGGCAAAGTGTAAACTAAAGTGTACTCCATAATGTACATGTAGCAACGTCCTTACCGATTGAATTTTGCTATTTGTACACTAATTTTCTACACGTTTAACACTTGCATTAATCTCAAGTGTTAATTCGATGGAAAAACGATTTGAAATTTAAACTGTCCAACAGGGTAATGTCACGTGGCAAAGTGTAAACTACAGTGTACACCATAGTGTACATGTGGCAAGATCCTTACCAATTGGCCTTTGCTATTTGTAAACTGAATTTTTAAACGTTGTTTGATACTTGCATTGTTGTCATGTGGCAATTGGATGGGAAAACTGTTTGACATTTAAACTATCCAACAGGGTAATGTCACATGGCAAAGTGTAAACTAAAGTGTACACCATAGTGTGCATGTAGAAATGTTCTTACCGATTGAACTTCGTTATTTGTACACTGATTTTTGACACGTTGTCTAGCACTTGCATTGTTGTCAAGTGTCAATTGTATGGGACAACTGTTTGAAATTTAAGCTGTCCAACAAGGTAATGTCAAGTGGAAAAGTGTAAACTAAAGTGTACGTGTAGTAAGGTCCTTACCGATTGAACTTTGCTATTTGTAAACTGATTTTTGATACGTTGTTTAACACTTGCATTGTTGTCAAGTGTCAACTGGATGGGAAGACTATTTGATATATGTGGCAAGATTCTTATCGATTGAACTTTGCTATTTATACCCTGATTTTTGACACGCTGTTTGACACTTACATTGTTGTCATGTGTCAATTGGACAGGAAAAATATTTGAAATTTAATCTATCCAACAGGGTAATATAACGAGACAAAGTGTAAACTAAAGTGTATACCATAGTGTACATGTAGCGATGTTTTTACCGATTGAACTTTGCTATTTGTACACTAATTTTTGATACGTTGTTTGACACTTGCATTGTTGTCAAGTGTCAATTGGATGGGAAAACTGTTTGAAATCTAAACTGTCCAACATGATAATATCACGTGGAAAAGTGTAAACTAAAGTGTACACCATAATATACATGTAACAAGGTTCTTACTGACTTAACTTTGATATTTGTACACTAATTTTTGACACGTTACTTGACACTTGCATTGTTGTCAAGTGTCAACTGGATGGGAAAACTATTTGAAATTTAAACTGTCCAATAGGGTATATCTCGTGGAAAAGTGTAAACTGAAGTGTACACTATACTGTACGTGTAGCAACGTCCTTACCAATTGAACTTTGCTGTTTGTACACTGATTTTCGACACGTTGTCTAACACTTGAAGTATTGTCAAGTGTTAATTCAATGGGAAAATAGTTTGAAATTTAAACTGTCTAATAGGGTAATGTCACGTGACAAAGGGTAAACTACAATGTACACCATAGTGTACATGTGGCAAGGTCCTTACCGATTGAACTTTAGTATTTGTACACTAATTTTCGACACGTTGTTTGACATTTGCATTGTTGTCAAGTGGTAATTGGATGGGAAAAATGTTTAACATTTAAACTATACAACAGGGTAATGTCAAATGGTAAAGTATAAACTCAAGTAGAAAGGTTCTTACAGAATGAACTTTGTTATATGTACACTGATTTTTGACACGTTGTTTGACACTTGTATTGTTCTCAAGTGTCAATTGGATGAGAAAATTGTGTGAAATTTTAGTTGTCTAACATGGTAAGGTCAAATGAAAAAGTGAAAACTAAAGTGTACACCATAGTGTACATGTAGTAAGGTCCTTGTCGATTGAACTTTACTATTTGTACACTGATTTTTGACATGTTGTTTGACACTTGCATTGTTATCGAGTGGCAATTGGATGGGAAAATTGTTTGACATTTATACTATCCAACAGGGTAATGTCACGTGGCAAAGTATAAACTAAAGTGTACACCATAGTGTACATGTAGAAGTGTTTTTACCAATTGAACTTTGTTATTTGTACACTGATTTTTGACACATTGTTTGACACTTGCATTGTTGTCAAGTGTTAATTGGATGGGGAAATTGTTTAAAATTTGAGCTGTCCAATAGGGTAATGTCAAGTGCAAAAGTGAAAACTAAAGTGTAGACCATAGTGTCCATGTAGTAAGGTCCTTATCGATTGAACTTTACTATTTGTACACTAATTTTTGACACGTTGTTTGACACTTGCATTGTTATCAAGTGGCAATTGGATGGGAAAATTGTTTGACATTTAAACTGTCCAACAGGGTAATGTCACGTGGCAAAGTGTAAACTAAAGTGTACACCATAGTGTACAAATAGAAAGGTTTTTACCGATTGAACTTTGTTATTTGTACACTAATTTTTGACTCATTGTTTGACACTTGCATTGTTGTCAGGTGTCAGTTGGATTGGAAAATTGTTTGAAATTTGAGCTATCCAATAGGATAATGTCAAGTGTAGAAGTGAAAACTAAAGTGTACACCATAGTGTACATGTAGTAAGTTCCTTACCAATTGAACTTTGCTATTTGTAAACTGATTTTTGACATGTTTTTTAACACTTGCATTATTTTCAAGTGCCAACTGGATTGGAAAACTATTTGATACATGTGGCAAGGTCCTTACCGATTGAACTTTGCTATTTGTACACTGATTTTTGACACGTTGTTTAACACTTGCATTGTTGTCAAGTGTCAATTGTATGGGAAAACTGATTGAAATTTAATCGGGTAATGACACATGGTAAAGTGTCAACTAAAGTGTACGTCTTAAGGTACATGTCGTAAGTTCTTACCGATTGAACTTTACTATTTGTACACTGATTT